CCCCAGAGACACCCTGTCCCCAGAGACCCTACTCCCAGGGATGGTATTACCCCAGAGACCACCCCTTTGCCAGAAACCCCATTTTCAGAGACCCCCTGTCCCCAGAGACCCCATTCCCAGAGACCCTCCCATCCTCACACCCCCGTTCCCAGAGATCCTCAGCCCCAGAGACCCCTCATTCCCAGACCCCTCATTCCCAGACCCCTCATTCCCAGAGACCCCCCCCATTCCCAGAACCCCCATTCCCGGATACCCCATTCCCAGAGACTCCACTCCCCCCTCCCCAAATCCAGGGCATTTTTTCCTGCTTTCCCAGAAGCCACCAAGCCGTGTCCCCCACCGGTGCCACCCAGGCCACCACCCCGTGTCCCTGGGCCACCTCCAGGGACTGTCCCCCATGGATGGATCCCTGTTCCAGCCCCAGTTTTCCCAGCTGGGATCGAGCCCCACAGCTGAGATGGAGATCTCCAGATGGAGATTTGGGGGTCCCGTGGGATTTACGGGGTTGCTCACGCTGATCCCGAGGATGAGGAATTATCCACGAGCCAAAAATATCCCAGGATAAACCCCACCTTTCCCAGCTCATCCCGGCTCTTCCGGGCGGCTTTGATGTTCCCGGGACAGGGGGAGCAGAGGAAACCCCACCCGGGCTGTGGGGTCCGGGGCGGAGGTGGCATCACGGGTGGGCACGAGGTGATCCCGTGGGATCCGGGGGGATCCTCTGGGATCCCAGCAGGGCAGCGGGAAAGCGGGATCAGCCCATCCATGCTGGAGCTGGCTCCTTTTGGGGTCCCGCCTGGAGGGGAGCGGTCACCAGCGCTCCCAGCACGGCCCCCACAGCGGGAATGGGGCGGATCCCGGGGAATGGGGCGGATCCCGGGGAATGGGGCGGATCCCATGGAAATGAGGAGGATCCCATGGAATTGGGGTGGATCCCATGGAAACGCGGGAGATCCTGACCTCTCCGCCGACCCCTGGCTCTGCCCCCCTCCCAGCCCGGGAGCAGCTCCGGCGATCCCGGCACAGCCGCACCTTCCTGGTGGAGTCGGGAGTGGGCGAGCTCTGGTCGGAGATGCAGGCAGGTACGAGGGGGGGACACGGGTGGGGTGGGTCCCCACTGGAGATTCCCAAATCCCGGGGGTCCCCCTGGAATGTCCCCTTGGTGGCAGAGCCACCCCCAAACACCCAAGGGCGCTCCTGCCATGGGGGTGACGTGGGTGGCACCTGTCCCTTGACCCCACAGAAAGGGCGGGGGTCTCCCTGCCACCATCCCATCCCTTCGTCTCTCCGCCCAATTCCCAACGTTTCGGTTAAGGATCCGTTTTCCCTGGAAAAGCGCAGCGCTGTGTCCCCGCGGGTGGCTGCCACCCTGTCGCTGTCCCCCCCGTGCAGGTGACAGGTACATCGTGGCCGACTGTGGCGGGGGAACGGTGGATTTGACCGTGCACCAGATCGAGAAGCCGCAGGGGACGCTGAAGGAGCTCTACAAAGCCTCGGGTGGGATGGGGGTCCCTTTCCATCCTTTTTTCCCTCGCCCTGGGGTCCTCCCGGGACACCAAACCCGGGCTGAGATCTCAAATCCGGGCTGGGACCCCAAATCCGGGCTGGGACCCTAAACCTGAACTCAGACCCCAAACCTGAACTCAGACACCAAACCCGGGCTGAGACACCAAACCCGGGCTGAGATCCTAAACCTGAGCTGGGACCCCAAACCCTAACTCAGACCTCAAATCTGAAATCAGACCCCAAATCCGGGCTGGGACCCCAAACCCGAGCTGGGACCCTAAACCCGAACTCAGACCCCAAACCTGAACTCAGACACCAAACCCGGGCTGAGATCCTAAACCCGAGCTGGGACCCCAAACCCGAACTCAGACCTCAAATCTGAAATCAGACCCCAAACCTGAACTCAGACCCCAAACACGGGCTGGGACCTCAAACCCAGACTGGGACCCCAAATCCGAGCTGGGACCCCAAAACCGCCCCACGAAAGGGTCGTGGGTGGGGCTCTGGCCCCACCTGGTGGCGGCGGGGGGAAGTGCAGGGGGACAGGGGGACCGAGAGGGGACAGAGGGAAGGGGGGGATGGATTGGGGGGGACAAGGAGGGACAGGGGTGGATTAGGGGGAC